GGTCACCTACACCAAGTTGCACAGGGTCAAGTTCATGTGGGTTTTGAATATCGCCAGAGAAGGAGACTCCACACTTCTCTGGGCAGCCTGTGCCAGTGCTCTGCCACCCTCAAAGTATGGAGGTTCTTCGGTCTATTCAGATGAAACTTCTTGAGTTTCAGTTTGTGCCTGTTGCCCTTTAACCTGTCGCTTGGCACCACTGAAAAGAGTCTGGCCCAATCTCTTGACGCCCACTCTTAAGGGATTTATGAGCATTGATGAGATAAGCTGAACAGTCCCAGCTCTCTCAGCCTTCCTTCATCAGGGAGATGCTCCAGTCCCCTCATCATCTTTGTAGCCCTCCACTGGACTCTCTCCGGTAGTTCCTTGTCTTTCTTGAGCTGGGGAGCCCAGAACCGGACACAGCACACCAGGTGTGGCCTTACCAGGGCAGAGTAGAGGGGGACGAGAACCTCCCTCAACCTACTGGCCACAGTCTTCCTCATGCACCCCAAGATACCATTGGCCTTCTTGGCCACGAGGGCACACTGCTGGCTCATGGGCAGCTTGTTGTCCACCAGCACTCCCAGGTCCTTCTCCACTGGGCTGCTCTCCAGCAGGTTGACCCCCAGCCTGTACTGGTGCATGGGGTTGTTCCTCCCAAGGCGCAGGACCCCAGCTTGCCTTTGTTGAACTTCTTTAGGTTCTTCTCTGCCCAACTCTCTCGCCTGGACTCAGTGAGTCCAGGTCTCACTGAATGGCAGCACAGCCTTCCAGTGTATTGGCCGCTCCTCCCAGTTTTGTGTCAGCAGTTAGTTTAGTTTCTTTCTGTCATGTGTTCTTACTAAAGAATAGAAATTATCCCTAATAGTACATAACAAACATCATTTGTTGGCATCGCTGGCAGTGTCTTTTGTTCCAGTCAACACCAATAAATTCAACGGATTCTCACTGTTCTCTTGTGGAAGCAGGAATTATGTTCATTCACAGGTAAAAATAAGATACCTGCTCTATCAGAATGTTGCTTTGCCCTTTTCAAGACTGTTTCTGTTTGAGAGTAGATATTTTTAATTAGATTGTGATATTTGAGTGAAGTTCTATTTGATTATTAAAACAATTAGTAAAGATTGCTGCATTTTTTTCTCTAAAATGGTTGCTCGGGGTAGTGAGTAATGGTATCAATTTATTCCTCTGCCCTTGAAAGGTGTGTTATTTCATTATTTATTAACTATAATGTTTGAAAAAGAAATTGTGGCTTGCACTTGTATGTGTGTATTTATCTAACCTATTTTGAGTGGCTGTTGGTTGGCTGTTGAATGCTTCTGGGTTTGACCTTTCCTTATCAAGCAGAATTGCTATCCTTCGGAATATTATATGCAGAGTTGAAGAAAAGAAACAGGAAAAGACGTGTCTTCTGCAGAGGGTGACATTGGCTGACAGCCCCCGAGGAGCACAGTTACGCTGCAGAAGTTCCCACAGAGTCAGCTCAGGTGCTGATTCTGCTCTAGCAATGCTGAGGAGCCTGGAGCAGCGACTGCTCAGCTACTTACAGAAGTAGATTTTCCATGTTTCTGTAGAGCTGTACCCAATCTCCGATGTCTGCTTAGTGTTGTAATGTAGTTTGAGAGCTAGGCTGAGTTATGGAAGGTATAAATACAGTTTGTGTGCCTTTCTTTTCTTACTCTGCTCCCTTTGATAAAATTACTAGTTACATACAATGATTCTTCTTTATTTTAGTGTTTGTTTTAAACCAGTGAACAGCTGCTTTAACAGTGATAAATATGTAATTTTCTGACAAATAAACCATCTATATTTTTAAAAGCTCACATTTTTTTTTAAACCGATTTCAGCATGCACTGCAATTAGTAACAGGGAACCATGTGGTTTTTGAGACCAGTGTGCCAAACTGAAAGATACCCATGTAGTGAGCAGTATTTCTGCCACGTTGGTGGTGTCAAAATGACTAGATTAAATTAGCAAATAAATTGAAACTGGTAAACACTTGTAGGTGTAGCAACATACTAAAAAAAAAAACCCACCACTCCACAGATATTAAATTAACTGTTGCTGATACCGTGAAAATGTAAATGTAGTTGAGACTAGGTGGTGGAATCGCTAGCTCATTATGCTGAAAGAGACCAGTTGACTTTGAGTAGCGGAGAAGTTGGTTTCGCATTTTTAGAATGGCTGACTCTTTGCCTAGATGTACAGCTGTGACTTTCCTGATGAAAGAAGATAACGTTTCTCATAATTCTGTTCAAATTACCAATGCTATGGTTTATCATGATGTGGTGGTGTCTTGCATTCATAGATGTAATTTCAAGCTGTCGGAGCAACTGACATACACAGGTTTTTTTAGTTCTTTGTTTTTCAAAATTGAGTATTGAAAGGAATGTATATGTGAATTTTGGGACAGATGATGTTGATGCATTTTTAATTTACTTTAAATTATGAGGTTAAGGGAATGGCAATTAATTTTTAATTAAAGAAAATATACTTTGGATGCTGCTGCATGCTGTAGAACTGTAACTACACTGGTTAGAAACATCATAGCCTATTACTGTGCAAGGGAACATGAAATAATTAAACAGCTGGGAAGGGATTGCATATGCTTAATGCTTTTAATGTGATGGATAATAAACTGAATTTACAGTAGATGTGAGTGTCAATAGGAGGTTCGTATTTTCGCAAGCTCTAAGAGCATCCCTTGGATGATCCACTTACCTCTTGCCTGCCATCAGAGAGGTCTTACGAGCGCTGGTTACGGTAACCTAGTGGATTGATTTTTATTTCACCTAGTATAAATGTTCTCAACTATGTTAACAATTGCAATTATTAGTCAGTTTACTGGCATACGCTATTTTTTTCTTGCAGTAAAATGAAACCTTTCTCAGTAACCCTAGGTCTGTTTTGTTAATTGGTGTCCTAGAAAAGACATTGAATTCTGTTTCATTGGAGTAACATCTTTGAGTTAAACATTTAGGAAAGACTTAGAATGTGGTAGAGGATATAAATACAAGTTTTGTCTAATCTTGTTGATGTTTACTTTCTCTTCTTCCCCTCCCTCTCCCTTTCTGAATTCTATGCTCCAATGACTGAAGTCCCTGGGCTATGAATGCATGTTAAATATAGAATCCCCACAGCAAATGTGACTATCTGATTCAGATTCTTTCCTGATACGGATAATCCTCATAATACTGTCTCATGATTTCTTCTTGTTCCTGAAAAATAACATTAACTTTTGGCATACAAATTGACTTGGAAATATACTTGGATTTGATTGGAGGAAAGCAATGTTGCCATGGTGATGGGATTGTGATGAGTGAACATAACGTGGTCAATTTCAACGTTCTAGATGGAAATTAATTATTCTACAAGTAAATCAGGAGCAGACTTCTGATTTTGGAACCTGCGAAGTAGAAGAGCAGATGTGGCTAAGAGAGATAATACCCAATCTCTGATTTGTCAAAAGCTGAAAACTTTGCCGTAAGAAAACTTCAAAATTTAAATACCAAAATACAGACTAAATTATATTTTGAGATTGTTGTATTCCAGCTAAATACTGTCTTGAAAAAGAAGTTGCTCAGACTGACTTAAGTGTAGTCAGATTCATTTTTTTCTGCATGCTTACGAAGAAAATTTGTTCTATAAAATTGTTTTGCCACAGTTCTGTCCCTATTCTTTTATTGATCCTCTGACCTTCTACCTTCCTTTCAAGCATTGATAATACAGATGCAAAAAAATAACTGTCTAGCGGTGTTGGGAGACTTGAGTGTTTTATGTGATGTTAGTGCTTTGACAGATGAAATGTATAATGCTGTTCCACATGGTTGTGCTGTGCTTGAAGTG